GGGGTCCAACCCCCCCCTCCTATGTGACCCCGGTTGGGTCGTCTAGCTAGTAGAAGTGGAGGATAGGGGCCAGAGGGGCAGACGGCAGAGTCCAATGATGGGAGAGAAAAAAAAAAAAAAAACACGCACTGCTGCTGCTGATAACCGGAGTAGTCTACACATGTCCAAGCCACAGCAACGATATGATATTTAGCTGCGACATGCACTCACTTGCGATTGCGTGAAACGTAGAAAGTTGACGCAGTCCTGTGGGCTGAGAATGCTGTCACGTCCCTACGTGCGATACTCGTGGGCGTGTCGTCGAGTTCCAGAAGGGCCATCGCGTAGATGAAGGCGATGTTGTACACGAACCATAGTCTATATTCTATCGGTGTAGACTTCGAATAAAATACGGCATCGAAGCATGACCGAACACGTTTTTTGCGCTGGATTCGTTCGCGAATACGTAGACGGGATATGGTAGCCTCGCCCACACACTCAACAGTGGGAGCGCTGCAGAGCGCTCTGTCAAGAGACAGCTGTTCCCGCAGCAGGGCAGCAAGCAGCCACAGAAGGAGGGGGACTGTCAGGCCACTGTCCACCCCGGTCAATCACTTTCGCCCCAGCCTGCAGACCTTTAATCGGAAAATATCCGCCTGCACGAAGTTTCCAGGAAACTTTCTTGACTCAAAATCTGTTTCCTTATTTAAGTAAATTTGGAGCCCCAGTCCGAAACTGGCAAATGTCACACACACAACAAATCCATCTCTATCTCAGAATCTATAGAAATACGTCTTTCTAGTCAAAGATAGATCAGCAATGAATTTTTTAACTTTCCGTTAGCTCTCGTTTGAGCACTTCAGCGTGCCGATCGGGTCAAGCACTGCAGTTGTAAGCACTGTGTAACTGCCTCGAGGGTGCTTGACCATTTTAACACAACGTGGTGCGATCATCCCCCTTGCGCGGAGTGAGGGTTCTCGAACCCGCACAACAACATGATGATCTACTCGACCACCATTCATTATGGTTGCCGCCAAAAAAAAACGAGGAAAAAGAAAACAAACGGCAACAACCTGGTTGCCGAGTTCACGAAGTGAATTGGCTTGTTTTACAACG